ATCCATTGATCTCCGGATCAAATAAAAACAGTTGTGCCAAAATACACATATAGCACGTAGTTATTTTTAAAAATTCATTTTAGTGTCTTTTCGGTTGAATTTTCTGCATAAATTTGTTGAACATTAAGACATGTTTGGCAAAAATAATACATAACCATGATGCTAAAATAATTTTTTATATAATGTTTGAGTTATTTAAATAACATATGAAAGTTTGGTGTGCTTATCTCACATCCCTTCAAAGTTTGGTGTATTTGAATTATTTTTCCCAAAAATATAAAACTATTGAACACACTTTTTAAGCATCTTTGTATAAATATTAAAAATAAGTATACAACTAATACAAGGAAGTGCATAAACCAGTTTTCTACCACCAATCTCTTTAACCCATTCGACAACAAAAATCTAAAAAAAAACACCATGGCAATGAAAAACAGGGGAAATCTCAATAAATCAACAAAAGAAGACCAACACTTTTTTTTGAAATAATGCAGACCAACACTCTGTATAATCGTTTTTTACACTACTGAATATGCAAAACAAATCTTTTTTATCCAAACAATCACTTTTTATACTCCCAATCGTTTTTTGAATGCTGCGTACAGTGGTTTTAGTTGTTGACAAAACAGCCCATGATGTATTTGTTTCAATGGTTGAATAAAAAAATTTATTTGATTACCCAAACACGGAGTCAATGGGCAATCAAATAAATTTTTTTATTCAACCATTGAAACAAATACATCATAGGCTGTTTCGCAGCATTCAGAAAACGATTGGGAGTATAAAAAGTGATTGTTTGGATAAAAAAGATTTGTTTTGCATATTCAGTAGTGTAAAAAACGATTATATAGTGTGTTGGTCTGCATTATTTCAAAAAACAAAAAAAAGAGTGTTGGCCTTCTTTTGTTGATTTATTGGGATTTCCCCTGTTTTTCATTGCCATGGTGTTTTTTTTGAAAAATGCTAAAGGTACCCCAATTGGTACCCCAATTTGTACCCCCACCCTATTTTTGTGGCTCACAAAAGCATCTCATTAAAGTGGGGCAATTCATTTATTGATGTGGGCTTTTGTGAGCCACAAAAATAGGTTGAGGTACAAATTGAGGTACCAATTGGGGTACCTATAGCAAGGTTGGTTTTTTTTTTAGATTTTTGTTGTCAAATGGGTTAAAGAGATTGGTTGTAGAAAACTGGTTTATGCCCATCCTTGTATTAGGATGTTTTTAATTGGACTGTAATTTGTTCCAAACCAAACCAAACCAGACCAGACTAGATCAGACTAGATCAGACCAGACTTGAATAGTTATAAGAATACAAAAAGACCAGACCAGACTCGATCAGACCAGACCAGACCAGACCAGACTAGCAAATTACAGTACATGTAAAAACATCCTTAGTCGTTGTATACTTATTTTTAATATTTATACAAAGATGCTTAAAAAGTGTGTTCAATAGTTTTATATTTTTGGGAAAAATAATTCAAATACCCCAAACTTTGAAGAGATGTGAGATAAGCACCCCAAACTTTCGTATGTTATTTAAATACCCCAAACTTTATATAAAAAGTTATTTTAGCACCATGGTTATGTAATATTTCTTTCAAAAATGTTAATTTATGGTGTTAATTGCATAATTTAAAGTACAAAATTAAAAACACTACACTTATATAGAGTGGGGGGATTTATTTTTTTTACAATGGAAGTTTAGAATGTTAATTGTATGTTTATGAATGCTAAAACATTTTAGATTATGAAATTAAAACAAAAAATTAACATTTTTGAAAGAAATAATACATGACCATGGTACAAAAATAACTTTTCATATAAAGTTTGGGGTATTTAAATTACATATGCAAGTTTGGGGTGTTTACTTCACACTCCTTCAAAGTTTGGGGTATTTTAATTATTTTCCCCTTAATTAATATGTGAGGTATATATACAAGTAGTGCCGTACATACATAAGCCCTTAGCCCAAAGGAATATACAAAATAAATACAAATGGGCTAGGCCCGAAATGAATCTAACACGCTAACACCCCCTCAAGTTGGAGCACGGAGTTCAAAAATGCCCAACTTGCCAAGAAGATAAAGAAATTGACGTTTGCCCAAAGCTTTAGTAAAGATGTCAGCGAGCTGATCAGTAGTGGAAACGTGGCGAGCAATAAGTGAACCATCCTGAATAACGTCATGAACGTAATGGCAATCAACCTCAATATGTTTCGCTTGCTTGTGAAAAACAGGATTGTGGGCAATATGAAGAGCAGAACGATTATCACAATACAAAGTCATAGAATGCGACTGAGGAATACCAAGACTAAGGAGAAGACCCTTAGCCCATTTTAATTCTGCCGTGGTGGCAGCCATGGATCTATACTCAGCCTCAGTGGAAGAACGAGAAACGGTATGTTGCTTCTTGGTCTTCCAGGTGATGGGAGAGTCCGGGTAGGACGGGTTGGGGTTTGGCATACCCTTTCGGTTATCGGGTTTACAATTAAAAACCATATACCTACATGCTAGAAGGAAGGTCTCAAGATGTTGTCGTGAACCCAAATGCTATTTTTGAGAGACAGATTGTTAAGTATGGTAATGCAGCTAGAGTCAAATTTTCGATTCAATGAGAAGGTCAAAATGCTCAAAATGCTGAAGATGCAACATGGGAGTGGTATGATTGTATAAAGGCAGTGTGTCCTTATTTTTACAAAGGAATGATGACTTGAAGACAAGTCAGTTCTTGAGGAGCGAGTATTGATACAGTAAGATGTAGAAGCGGTTAACTCAAGACTGAAGTACCAGATCAGCAACCGGCTTAGCTATATGATTTGTGTGTTGTATGTAAATAAGAAATATTATTGAGCTAATGATGTGTCATGAAGATAGGCTTAGGTAGGTAGTTAGGTTTAGGGCGCCGTTAGGCTTAGGGGTTAGGTTTAGGCCGGCCGGCCCAGGGCGTCCCGCTGCCTCGGTGTCGGCCCGGAGCGCCGAGGGGCATTATGCTGCCTCGGTGGCGCCCGGTGGCGCGAAACCCCCCTGGGGGGCAGGGGGGCAAGAAGTAGCAGTCAAGGGGAGTCGAGGGGAGGAAAGAATCGAGGAAGGGATGGGAAGGGAGGAGAGGAAGGGGATAACAAAGGGAAAAACAAAGGAAAAGAAGAAGGAAAGGGATAAAAGGAAAAGGAAGAACAAAGGGATAAAAGGAAAAGGAAGAACAATAGGCATTGGATGGACAACAAGGAAGAAAAGATCGTCCATTTTCTTCTTGTGTTTGTCAAGGAAGATAAGAAACTGTTGACTGCACTCTTTCCCGATGGCCGTGATGGGCGCGCACTTTCACTCTGAAGGGTTGGCTGGGTTATGTACTGGAAAATATTTAGCAGATTCTTGTCATAAACCAGTACTATTGGTAGCTGCATGAAAGGACAATGATGCGGACTGGTATGAGGCTGACTTGCACATATTCTGGTTGGCTGGGTTACGTACTGCAAAATATTTATCAGATGGTGGTCATAAACCAGTACTATTGGATTTAGGGTGGAGGAATCATGCAGCAAGCACAGATGGAGATGGAGTTGAGCAATGATACGAGAATATGAGCACAGACTACTTGCTTCGAAATCCTTATTTTTGTTGTCATTGTTTTAACTTTAAAAATAACAGTAGTAGTTATTCTATTATTATTCATTGTTCTAGAATTCATATTTCCAGATGAGGATCTACATATTATAGCTGATTGTGTTAAGGTAGCTCCTTCTATGAGAGGTGTGAAAGTATATTTTGTACAAAAAAAAGATGTGTCATGAAGATTAGTTAGAGACTTAGAGTTAGTTAGGAGTTAGCTGAACTTCTAACAATCTTCTAATTAGCTTAAATAGCAATTGTACACTTTCAGTTGAGCTATGAATGAAATCATGATCATCTTCTTCCTCTCTTCTCTAGTTCTGTATAATTCGTTCGTTTGAGTATATGCATGATCTCGTTATCTTCTTCTTCATATTCTCATGAGATAACCTACGTTTTACTTGTATCACCCAAAAGTGTCGGGTGTTTATCTCCTTGTGGCTTTTGTGCCATAATCCCAAGTCCTGTGATTTTGGATGTCAGACTTAAACCTCCCGTCATTTCCCCTTAAATCGCAACAATCAAGCAGTAATTACGAACAATCTTCTAGGTAGCTTATTAACACCAAAGATCTTTTACATTTTCTCTAATACTCCGTAGTCATATCTGAATATCTTCAATAATTACACAACTAAAAACTACTACGTATATTATTATTTTTTTTAAAACAAAAACTACTACATATATCATGTATGAATCTTTTATTAATAGGCCATAGCTGAAATAACTTTCAAAGCATCTATCTATCTCCCAAGTCTCAACTCCCAACCTTTAATTTGGTGATCGAGTGACCATAAGTACGTATGTAATTAAAGAAAATTAATTATAATTAGAAAATTCATCCTGTACATTGCACACTATTTGCACTAGCAAAACTCTTGCACTATAAAGAAGGAATAAGTAACTTTATGAATTACACTAATAAATATAACATAAATGAGTAGACTAAAATAAAGTCACCAAACTTTGGCATCAAAAGTCTTTGAAGCCTTTTTCTTTTTCGGGATAGATGAAGGGAAAATGTGGCAATATGTATGTATCAATTGTGAAGAGGTACACATTTTCATACACACCTACACACTCATGTTTGTGAAGAGTATTTTTTGGTCTGTATACATACATAAAACATTTTCAAATACGTTATGTCTGTATACAGACATAAAAATACTCTTCACAAACATGAGTGTGTAGGTGTGTGTATGAAAAATGTGTACCAATAGATTTTTTGATGTATGTATATATGTGTGTTCATATTCCATTGTGGGGTGTGACGCAGTAAAATCCCATTTTCACTTAGTCTCGACAAAGAAAAGAAAAGAATATTTATTTCAATCTAACCTTCGGCTAAAATGTTTACTTCGAAATATGAGTGTATTTATTTGACACTCACATTGCAAGCGCCAGCGGCAGCTTTTCTGATTAGTACAGGAGCTACTTCCGGCCACCTCGTTTTGAAGTGTTTCCCGAGGCGCCTTCCGGCCACCATGAAGTATAGTTGGGCTATGTTTGGTCTGACAAGCTGAAAAGATCTTTTTTAATCTTTTTAGGAACTGTTAGTTTTTTTGAGCTGAAAAGCTTGTAGATGAAAAAGACTGTAGATGTTTCATGAAAGCTGCCTGTTTTAAATAGCACTGTTTGGCAAAACTAGCTGTCACAAGTAGCTAAAATTATAAAATTACAATTAAGGGTATGCACATAGGGAAAAATAATTCAAATACCCCAAACTTTGAAGAGATGTGAGATAAGCACCCCAAACTTTCATATGTTATTTAAATACCCCAAACTTTATATAAAAAGTTATTTTAGCACCATGGTTATGTAATATTTCTTTCAAAAATGTTAATTTATGGTGTTAATTGCATAATTTAAAGTACAAAACTAAAAACACTACAATTATATAGAGTGGGGGGATTTATTTTTTTTACAATGGAAGTTTAGAATGTTAATTGTATGCTTATGAATGCTAAAACATTTTATATTATGAAATTAAAAAAAAAATTAACATTTTTGAAAGAAATAATACATGACCATGGTACAAAAATAACTTTTCATATAAAGTTTGGGGTATTTAAATTACATATGCAAGTTTGGGGCGTTTACTTCACACTCTTTCAAAATTTGGGGTATTTTAATTATTTTACCCATTAATTAATGAGGAGCACGGGGAATTACCCTAAAATTATACACACATACCTACAACTCTCGTTTATAGCAGTATAGTGTCATGATCAAGGGCAAATTTGAACGTAAGTGCTAAGGACGGTCGTTCAAGTCACTGGCAAGAACCGTGTGCTGTTTTGACTAGGAATGTGGGTTCTGTTTTAACTGATTCACATCGCCAGACTAAAGGCTATGGGAGATATCTGAGACCCGGATTTAAATGGGGGTGAGCTAGAAATAGCAGAGAACTGGATATCACTTCGACGTGCCTTTGAGGCACAATTGGGGGCGACACACGGGCAGAAGAGGGAAGCACGGGCTGGGCAGGAGAAGGGGAATTCACGAGAGTCTAGTTCTTGTAGCACCATTAGCATATTCATGTTCATGCACTTAAATAAACATATATTTATGACACCTACTTTTTTCAATATAATCTTATACTCCCTCCGCCCAACTAAGATTGTCTCAGACACTATTCACTTGGTCAACACAAATCTTTTACTGTATAAATCAAATTTTTATCATATTTGATTCTGGTTTTTGCGACTTTGTAAAACTTTTAATGCAGTTTCCGAATATGTAATTTGTTTTTCTAAAATAATTTGAGTGCGAACAAGGATGTGTTTGTTTTATCGCCGGTCTAACATCATAAACCGAATTGTTCTAAACTTAGTGGGGCAAAGGTAGTATCTTCTAAATCACATCATTTCGCATTTCAAAATAATCATATCTTTTTTGGATCCCGTACTCACCAATTAATACTAATTTCACAATAATCTTGAGATAATCAGAATTTATATTCTGATCTCAAATTATTTTATCAAATAATCTCACCAAATAATCTCCCTCATCCAACCATGATCCCAAAAATCATCAACTTAATCTCGTAATAATATAATGGATGAAGATGTCCTTCAGAGGACAACTTGCAACTACTCAAATTAAGGGCCAAATTAAGCAGGTGATGGTCACGGGTTCAAAGGGTCACGAGTTCAATTATAGGTCCAAAGGCTCAGAGATTTGCTTTCATGGAAGGATCTCTAGGTAAAATCACGGTTGACCATCCTCCTGAGAATGAGATTCAAGAATATGGTAAGATCGTGTAAACTTTTACAGGAATTCAAGATCAAAGACACTTATCATTGATTCAGAGAGAAAGAGAAGCTAGAGTTTTATTGTAGGAGAAGAATGAATACGATCTTATAATTTAGGTCTAACTATTACAGTACTTATATGAACTGATGTAAAGGAATAATAATAAGAAATAAGTATTTGCAGTTTAGTCCTCCAGCTCTTTCTCTTTATTATTTTTGAACTCCTTGATACCCCCCCTCAAGATGAGCATGGATATCTAACAGGTTCATCTTGACAATGAATTCTTCAAAGAGTGGATTTCCCAGAGCTTTAGTGTACACATCTGCAAGTTGATAATGATTTTTAATGAGCATAAGGTTGATTAAACCAGTAGATATTTTTTCTCTTATAAGGTGGCAATCTAGTTCTATATGTTTGGTTCTTTGATGTTGAACTGGATTATGAGCCAAAAAATATGTAGATTGATTATCAATATGCAAAGTAATAGGAAAATTGTGTTGTATTTTAAAATCCTTTAAAAGATAATGAAGCCACTGTGCTTCACAAACAGCATTGGCAGCAGCCCTATACTCACTTTCAGTAGATGATCTACTAACAACTTGTTGTTTTTTAGATTTCCATGAAATAAGAGAATTGCCAAGATAAAAGCAATAACCAGAAACACTTCTTCTGGTGTCAACACATCCTGCCCAATCCGAATCACTATATCCAGAAAGTTTAAGATCAGAATTGATAGAATAGAAGAGTCCTTTACCTGGGGCATTTTTGAGGTACCTGAGAATTCTATGAGCAGCATTTAAGTGAATGTCAGTAGGGTTGGCAAGAAACTGACTTAATGCCTGAACACTATAGGTGATATCAGGTCTAGTAACAGTAAGATATAAGAGTTTGCCAATAAGTGTTCTATAAACTTTAGGATCAGATAAAGGAGTACCATTTTCTTTTGAGAGTTTAATTTTGGAATCCATGGGTGTACCATAAGGTTTACAATTTAAGTAACCATTTTCAGAAAGAATGTCTAAAGTATATTTTCTTTGAGAAAGACAAATTCCCTTTTCAGACCTGGCAACTTCAATACCAAGAATGTATTTGAGATCACCAAGATCTTTAATAGTAAATTTATTATGTAAAACATGTTTGACATGATTGATTTCAGTCTTATCATTACCAGCTAAAATAATGTCATCAACATATAAGAGTAATATTGTTATAGAATTATCATTAGTTTTTGTAAAAAGAGAAAAGTCAGCCTGAGATTGAATATAGCCAATGCCTTGGAGACATTCAGACAGTTTGTAATACCATTGTCTTGAAGCCTGTTTAAGACCATACAGACTTTTCTGTAATTTGCACACTCTGGTATCTCCTGGAGGCAAGTATCCTGGTGGAGGCTGCATATATATGGTTTCTAAAAGATCTCCATGCAAAAAAGCATTATTAATATCAAGTTGTTGTAAAAACCAATGTTTTGTAGTAGCAATAGCAAGAAGAAGTCTAACAGTGGTCAATTTTACAACAGGTGAAAAAGTATCAAAGTAATCTAATCCTTCTTCTTGAGTATAGCCTTTAGCAACTAATCTAGCTTTATATCTTTCTAAAGTTCCATCAGATTTGAGTTTAGTTTTATAAACCCATTTACAACCAACAGTATGTTGTTGAGGTGGTAGATCAACCAGAATCCAGGTATTATTTTGTTCAAGAGCTTGAAGTTCAATGTTCATGGCAGTCTGCCATTCAGGATGCTTAATAGCCTGTTTATAAGTTTTAGGTTCTTTAATAAGAGAAATACTGGCAGTAAAACATTTATATGATTGATCAAGTCTCTTATCACTTATATGATTAGATATAGGATATCTAATGAGATTGCAAGATGATTGATGAGTAGGTTTTAAAGAATCAGGAATATTATAATCATAATTTTGCAAGTAAGTAGGAATACTTCTTACTCTAGAAGATTTCCTTTGAGGAGTGGTTTCAGGCTCAACAATATTTATGTTTTCCTGAAAAGAAGAAGAATCATTAGTAGATTCTGAACTATCATTATGAGTAGTGATAATATTATGATTAAGAATGTTCAATTCATCACTTATTTGATTATCTAAAAAAGAATAAGAATCAGAATTTACCTGAGTTGATGTATCATTAGACTGGTCAGTAGATGAAGTATGACTCTCAGAAGATAAAGTATGATTCTCAGAAAAGGTATTATTATCAGTAGAAGAATTGTAAGTGTCATCATAAAAGAAATTCTTATAAGAATCATTTGAAAAAGTAAGTTGACCATTGTTTACAGAATTACAGGGAGTTTTTAAAATATCTTTGTAAGGAAAAATAGTCTCATAAAATTGAACATGTCTGGAAACAAAGATTTTATGTGTGTTTAAGTCATACAATTTGTAACCTTTATAGCCAAAAGGATAACCAATGAAAACACATTTTGAAGCTCTAGGATCAAATTTATTTCTATTTGCAGTTAAGGTAGAAGCATAAGCTAAACAACCAAACACTTTGAGGTGGGAATAATCAGGTATGGTATTATACAAAAGTTTAAATGGGCTTTTATTATCTAAGATAGCAGTAGGAGTCCTATTTATAATATGAACGGCAGCTAAGACACAATCAGACCAAAAATTAATAGGTAAACAAGACTGAAAAAGAAGAGATCTAGCAATTTGGAGTATATGTTGATGCTTCCTTTCTACTCTACCATTTTGTTGAGGAGTTTCAACACAAGAAAGTTGATGAATAATTCCATTAGATTGATAAAAACTGGAAAACATAAATTCAGCACCATTATCAGTTCTTATAGTTTTAATTTTCTTATCAAATTGAGTTTGAATGAGTTTATAAAAGTTCATCATATGAAAACGAGTTTCAGCCTTAGTTTTCATCATAAAAATCCATGTGCATCTACTGTGATCATCAACAATGGTTAAGAAATACTTAAAACCAGAATAAGAAGCAGTACTAAAAGGACCCCAGATATCCATATGAACTAAGTCAAAAGCAGCAACAGCATGAGAAGTACTATCAATAAAGGAAAGTTTCTTTTGCTTGGAAAAGTGACAAATGTCACAAGGAATGATGTTATTACAAGATTTATTGTCAAAAGAAATAGGAAAAGAACTGAGTTTATTAAAAGGAGTGTGACCAAGTCTAAAATGCCATATTACAGGATTATTATGAGAAACAGTAGTGGCAGAGTATGCAGAAGCAGTATGATTGAGAAGATGCAATTGATAGAGTCCATTTTTGATTTCAGCATAGCCAATGATTTTCTGTGTACTTTGCTCCTGTAACACACCATAATTAGAAGAGAAATTAACAGATAAATGTTCATTTAAAGTAAGACTAGACACAGAAATAAGATTGTAATTGAAATTGGGAACATATAAAACATTATGTAGAGTTAAATCATTATTTAGTTGAACATCTCCTATGTGAGTAGCAACAGTAGTATTACCAGTAGGTAGTTGAATGTTAATAGAAATACATTTAGGTTGAGAAGTATATATATTTAGATCATGAATCATATGATCAGAAGCACCAGTATCAATGATCCAATTAGATATAGAATATATACCTTTAAAAGCATTGTTATCAGGAGATGAGGACTGTTCAGGAACAGGACAGTGAGACATAGCCATGGCAGCATGAGCAGAAGTAGGAAGAGATGATTGATTCTTCATGAATTGAAGAAATTGATTGTAAAGTTCTGGATTGCAGAGGTCTAAGTCATGACTATCAGTTGAAGTAGAAGCCAAGTGTGCTTGAGATGTTTTGTTAGCATTGGTAAAAGAAGGTTTGAAGCCAGGTGCAAATCTCTGACCCTTAGGACCTTTCCAGTTAGCAGGATAACCAATAAGTTGGTAACAACGTTCAGAAGAGTGGCCTTGAAAACCACAATGAGAAAAAGTGCCAGTATACTTTTTCTTTGGATTGGTAGATTTGGCAATGAAAGCAGTAGATTCAATAGTGGATGATGTAGCAATGGATGGAGGTTGAGTATTAGGAATATGTTGAGAGAACATTGCTACAGACTCAGTATGATTGTGCAAAGAGCGTTGAGATTCTTCTTGAAGAAGAAGAGAGTAGACAGCAGACAGTTTTGGAATAGGGGTACGCAACAAGATTTGACTTCTCAAGACATTGTAAGATTCATTGAGGCCAATAAGAAACTTATAGACTGAGTCTTTCTGCAAAAGTTCTTGAAAGAGTTCATTGAGATTACAGGTACAATTACCGCATTTACAGACTGGAATAGTCCTGTAATTACAGTATTCATCCCAGAGAGTTTTGAAAAAATTATAGAAGGCCGTAAGAGATTGAGAGCCTTGAGCCAGATTAGTCAAAGATTTTTCAAGTTGAAAAACATGAGGACCATCACT